GAGAGACCGGGGCCCCATTCTCACTCTTCTGAAACAGAATAATGCCCAGACTAGAATCTTATTCCACGCAAAACTAATTTTTGTATATTAAGGATAAATCGAGACATTCTCATGTAAGCAAAGACTGAGGGAATTCACCAAGACAAGACTAGCCCTTCAAGAAGTAATCAAAACAGTGTTATCCACAAATCAGCACAATAAACAATCATGAATGTAAATCTACTCAAAGATAAAGATCAATGCCCAGATACCATAATTGCTCAATAGAGAAAACAAAGCAACAAAGTTAAACCCAACATAATGAACAGAAATATGCCCCAGCCATCAGTTATCTTAATAAATGTGAATGGCTTGAACTCCCCATTCAAGAGATATAGGTTGGCCGAATGGATAAAAAAACATAAGCCAAGTATCTTCTGCCTTCAGGAAACATATCTAACCTGCAAGTATGGAGTTAGACTAAACGTAAAGGGGTGGAGAACAATATTTCAAGCAAACAGAAGCCAAAAGAAACCTGGCATGGCGGTGCTTATTACAGGCAACTTAGTTTTTAAATCAACAAAAGTAATAAAAGACAAAGAAGGTTACTATATAATGGTGAAGGGTACAGTTCAACAAGAACACATAACAATTCTAAACATATACTCATCCAACCTTGGTGCACCCAGATTCATAAAGCAAACTCTACTTGAGCTAAACAAATGGATAAAAAACAACACCATAATACTCGGAGATTTTAACACACCACTGACAGCACAGGAAAGATCCTTGATATAGAAAATCAACAAAGAAATAATGGACTTAAACAGAACTGTAGAACAAATGGGCCTGACAGACATTTACAGGACATTCTACGCCAAAACCACCGAATATACGTTCTTCTCATCAGCTCATGGGTCCTTCTCTAAGATTGATCATATCCTAGGACACAAAACACATCTCAAACAATTTTAAAAAATAGAAATTATACCATGTATCTTTCAGAACACTATGGAATAAATGTAGAAATTAATCCTAACAGGAGTTCTCATTTCTAAACAAAGTCATGAAAACTAAACAACCTTCTGCTGAATGATCACTTCATAAACAAGGAAATCAAGATGGAAATCAAAAGATTCTTTGAAATAAATGACAAAAGAGAAACAAGTTACCAAAACCTGTGGGACACAGCTAAAGCAGTCCTAAGAGGAAAGTTTATTTCCATAAATGCCTATATCCAAAAGTTGAAAAGATTACAAATAGACAACCTAATGAATTGGCTCAAAGAGATGGAAAATGAAGAACAGGCCAACCCCAAACCCAGCAGAATAAGTGAAATCATTAACATCAAGTCAGAACTAAATGAAATTGATAACAGGGAAATTATATGGCAGATTAATAAAACAAAAAGTGGGTTCTTTGAAAAAGTAAAATTGACACACCTTTGGCTAGACTAATGAAAAGCAGAAAAGAAAAATTGCTAATAAGCTCCATCAGGAACAATAAAGGAGAAATTACAACTGATGCCACAGAGATAGAAGATATAATTTGTGAATACTACAAAAACCTCTATGCACACAAACTGGAAAATGTGGAGGAAATGAACATTTTCTTAGAAACACACACAGCCTCCCTAAGCTCAAGCTGGAAGAAATAGAATTCCTGAAAAGACCAATGTCAAGTACTGAAATTGAAATAGCAATGAAAAACCTTCCTAAAAAGAAAAGTCCAGGACCAGAAGGTTTCACACCCGAATTTTACCACACCTACAAAGAAGAACTGGTGCCTATCCTGCAAAAATTATTCCACAACACTGAGAAGATGGAATCCTCCCCAACACATTTTATGAAGCGAACATAACCCTGATACCAAAAGCAGGAAAGGATGCAACAACAACAAAAAAAAAACCTACAGACCAATATCCCTGATGAATATAGATGCAAAAATTCTAAACAAAATCCTAGCCAATCGAATCCAAGTGCTTGTCAAGAAAATTCTCCATCACAACCAAGTGGGCTTCATCCCAGGGATGCAGGGATGGTTCAACATATGCAAATCTATAAATGTAATTCCCCATATAAATAGAAACAAAAAAAAGACCATATGATCCTCCCAATAGATGCAGAAAAAGCATTTAACAAAATTCAACACCCTTTTATGATAAGAATGTTTAACAAAATAGGCATAGACGGGGCTTACCTAAAAATGAGAGAAGCCATATATGACAAACCCAAAACAATATCATACTGAATTGGGAAAAATTGAAAACATTCCCACTTAGAACCAGAACTAGACAAGGTCGCCCACTATCTCTACTTCTATTCAACATAGTGCTGGAAGTCTTTGCTATAGCAAGCAGACAAGACAGCGGAATTAAGGGAGCATCCAAGTGGGAGCAGAAGAGATCAAATTCTCACTCTTTGATGATTACATCATATTATAGCTAGAAAACCCCAAGCATTCCACCAAGAGACTCCCTGAATTGATAAATGAATTTGGTAAAGTCTCAGGATACAAAATCAATAAACTGAAATCAGAGGCATTCATATATGCCAACAAAAGTACATGTGGGAATGAAATCAAGGACTCAATTCCCTTCAAAATAGCAGCAAAGAAAATAAAGTACCTAGGAATATATTTAACTAAGGAAATAAAAGACCTCTACAGGGAGAACTATGAAACACTGAAGAAAGAAATAGCAGAGGATGTAAACAGGTGGAAGAATATACCATGCTCATGGGTCAGCAGAATCAACATTGTTAAATGTCTATACTACCCTAAGTGACCTACAGAGTCAATGTAATCCCTATCAAAATACCATCATCATTTTTCACGAATATAGAAAAAATAACTTTACGCTTCATATGGAACCAGAGAAGACCCCGTATAGCAAAATCAATCCTAGGCAATAAAAACAAAATAGGAGGTATCAATTCACCAGACTTCAAACTATACTACAAGGCTATAGTAATTAAAACTGCTTACAACTGGCACAAGAATAGGGACATTGACCAGTGGAACAGAAAAGAGAACCCAGATATAAAACCACCCTCATATAGCCAACTAATCTTTGACAAAGCAGACAAAAACATACAAAGGGAAAAGAATGCTTATACAGGCCGGGCCCGGTGGCTCATGCTTGTAATCCTAGCACTCTGGAAGGCCGAGGCGGGCGGATTGCTCAAGGTAAGGAGTTCAAGACCAGCCTGAGCAAGACCCTGTCTCTACTATAAAAAATAGAAAGAAATTAATTGGCCAACTAATATATATAATTAGCAGGGCATTGTGCACGTGCCTGTAGTCCCAGCTACTCGGGAGCGAGCAGTAGGATTGCTTAAGCCCAGGAGTTTGAGGTTGCTTGTGAGTAGGCTAACGCCACGGCACTCACTGTAGCCTGAGCAACAAAGCGAGACTCTGTCGCAAAAAAAAAAAAAAAAAAAGAAAAGAATCCTTATTCATAAATGGTGCAGGAAAACTGATAGTCACATGCAGAAGACTGAAACAGGCCCACACCTTTCACTCTCCAAAAATCAATTCACACTGGGTAACAGACTTGAACCTTAGGTGTGAAACTATTAGAATTATTAGAAACTATTTGAAACTTAGAATTCTAGAAGAAAATGTTGGAAATACTCTTATAAACATTGGCCTAGGCAAACAATTTATGAAGAAGACCCCAAAGGCAATTACGGGAGCAACAAAAATAAATAAATGGGACCTGATCAAATTAAAAAGCTTCTTCACAGCCAAAGAAACTGTCAAGAGAGCAAACAGAAAATCCACAGAATTGGAGAGAATTTTCTCAAGCAACACATCTGATAAAGGGCAGATAATGAGAATTCATTTAGAACTCAGGAAAATCAGCAAGAAAAAATCAAACAACCCTATCAAAAAGTGGGCAAAGGACATGAACAGAAATTTTTCAAAAGAAGACAGAATAAAGGCCAACAAACATAAGAAAAAGTGCTCAACTTCTCTAATCATGAGGAAAATGCAAATCAAAATTGCAATGAGATATCACTTATCTCCAATAAGAATGGCCTTTACCAAAAAGTCTCCAAACAATGAATGTTGGCATGGATGTTTAGAGATAGGAACACTCCTACACTGCTGGTGGGACTGCAAACTGGTTCAACCTCTGTGGAAAGCGATATGGAGATACCTTAAAGCGATACAAGTAGATCTACCATTTGGTCTAGCAATTCCACTACTGGGCATCTACCCAAAAGATCAAATGACACTCTACAAATGGAACACCTGCACTCGAATGTTTATAGCAGTACACTTCACAATTGCAAAGGTGTGGAAACAACCCAGGTGCCCATCAATACATGAGTGGATTAATAAAAATGTGGTATATGTATACCATGGAGTACTGTACATCTTTAAGAAACAATGGTAATATAGCACCTCTTGTATTTTTCCTGGATAGATCTAGAACCCATTCTACTAAATGATTTATCTCAAGAATGGAAAAACAAGCACCACATGTACTCACCAGCAAATTGGTATTAACGGATCAACACTTAAGTGGACATATAGGAATAACATTTATCGGGTGTCGGACGGGTGGGAGGGGGGGCATTGGCAATATACGTAACCTTAACATTTGTACCCCCATAATATGCTGAAATAAAAAAAATAAAAAAAAACAATGGTGGGTGATTCAATGGAGACTAAAACTTCTTTTAACCATTATGATTTACAGTTAATAGCCACCCCTACTCCCCACACCCGTAGCTCACTGATTTATTTTTCCTTCTAATTGGGATTTTGTTTAATGAGAGAATTAAAGATACTATGCAAAAGGATGTATAGAATCTATGGAAAAATAAAATAACATGCATTTTTAAGAAATATTATGATTGTTCTACTTTGAGGTTTTTCCTAGGCTACTTTCTTTTCAACATAAAGAACCCAAACATAATTCCTGTATCTCTGAAGCATATGAATAAATGTATCTACATACAAATATCTATGTATACTCATCAATCTGCAAATAAATGTTTGTGTTTGCCTACCTCCTCCGGCAAAGAGAGAAGCAATAAAGGGGCAGCCATCCCAAGATGATCATGCTGAATGCACCAAGCCCAAACATCCGGAACATCTGCGTAGGCTCTGTTGGTTTAATTATATCCTGTTACTTTTATGACTTAAGCAAGAGAAGCAAATCCGAGCTCTTTCATAAAGTCTTTATAAAAAAATCTATCAGTTAATAAAGTAAAATGAGGAGACATTCTTATATGACAGGTAAATATCCTTTCTACTTTGTAAGTAGCAGGAGTTCATGAAATGAACTGAAGGCTACATTTTCCATATATGCCCCCCAATGGAAGCCTTAACAAAATGATCCTTCTATTTTTGTTAACAGATTAGTATGATGCGTAGTATATATTTTTTCCTGTTGCCCTAAATGTGCTTTTTCCTTGGAAATATGCTCTACATCCTAGAGCACTCGAGGAGCAAATTAATCTGTGAACAGTTAATTTGGTAAAGAAATGGCTTCTTAAATGTTTATTTCCAAATTAAAAACCATTAAATTAAACAAAGAATCAAGATTTCCATGTAAATAAGTATATTTTAGTCTTGTATTCATTGGGAAATGCATTCTAATATAATTGGGGAATTGTAAGTCATGATTCAATTTTTTCCTCTATAAGAACCAAATGTCTCTTTATACATAATATAAAGACCCAATTGATAAATGAATTAAAATATCATGTGATAGTGTTAAAATTGGAATAGTATATTCATGATCAGGTTTTACTTTCCATAATACATGTTCAAAAAAGCTATAAATTGAATAGGGACTATATTAACCTAAGATATTGTTTTGCATGCATCCCATTTGTAATATTTGTTAGTGTTTCATCATATCAAATCCATTCATCATGAGACCAATTATCTAAGCAAAGGTAGCAAAAACAGTGCACTTCTTAAAACTTTGTAAAGAAAAAACATCTTAAGAAAACACACTCGAGGGGCGGAGCAAGATGGCGGACGAATAACACCGCCAGACAGAGTGTCTCTGCAGAAGAGACAGATTCTAGCAGAAATTAGAGGAAAGAAGCAAGAAGACGAGCATACAGCAGACAAGGGCCGGAAGGAGGGGTACCTGAGACCCCGGGAGACTCCAAGGGAGGAGGCTGCAGAGGAGAACTGGAGGCTGAGACCACCGGAGCAGCCCGGAGACCAGCGGCAAGGGTAGGTGGATTTGCTGTTTCCCCTCCCCTGCACTTGGGACTGCTGGTGGGCTCCCCAGCGGGTGGAGAGACCTGCGGACACCAGCACAGAGAATGCTGCCGCCTGCTAACGGTGAGCCTGTAGCAGACGTGGCACCAGGTTCCCAACTTCCTCCGGGCACCTCCGGGTGCACAGACCCGAGCTGCACGGCAGGCGCCATATTGCCTCCTCCTCCCCTCCCCCGACCCTACCCGCGACTGCCCAGAGAGACAATACAGCCACCAGCCAGAGGCACCTCCAGGGAACGTTTGGGACCCCGCCCACCCTCCCAGGTGCTGCTGGCACGGTGTTCCCAGGAGAACGGTGCCGACTCAGAGGCTGAGAGACAGAGACCCAGCTTAAGCTCCCTGTGGGTAAATTGGGACCGGAAATCCTCTCCCTGGTGGGGATACAGCTTGAACTCTGGGACCCAGAGGTCGGACCTGCAGACCAGATCCCCTGCACCGAGGGCTAGCATTGCCCGGGGCACAGAAGGGTTATACTGAACAGCCTACTGAGGAGTGTGTGCCGCCAGGGGCGGATCAGCGTCCTAGAGGGCAACCCTCATCCCAGGAGGAGGCCGTGCGCCCAACCCAGGTGGAGTTCCTGTGCAGGGAACCTCAGCCGGCATCACAATCCGGGGAGGCCTGGTGGCTTGTGGTCTGGCCTGCTGGCAGAGGCCCAGGAGTAGAGCTAACTGCGGATGTTGGTGAGGGTGGAAAGAAGCAGAGGCCTGCTCAGACTCGGCGGTCTCAGACAGCGCGCCACCCCCACGACACAGACTTTCTGGTGGGCGGGACCATATCGAGCCCACCCCTGACGGCTTTCCCTGGAAGCAGAAGAACAGAACTCTGAAGCCTCGCTGCTAAACGGCCCTGAGGGAGGCTTACAAACCCAGCCCGCCCAGCAACAAGAGCTGTCTACCAGGACACAAAAAAACCCAACAGTATGCCGGTTCTCCCAGGACGCAAACGCCACCTGTGACAGGGATCAGCAAACTTGCACAGCCTTTCCACAGGCACCGCACGGACTCAATATACAGGGAGTGGGTCGCAATTTCACCCAGCAACAAGCACCTACACGCTCAGAAACAAAACAAGCGTTGTGAATAACCCCAACAATAACTAAGGAAGAAACAACAACATGATCGACATGGAAGAAATCAGCGAAAGACTTCAGCGAAATATGAAGACCAAGACGGAAAACACAACCCCGAAAAGAGAGCACAGCCCCCTAGGAAACGGACACGCAACCAACAATCAGGCACCAAGTATGACAGCAGAGAGGAATTTAGTATGTGGATCATTCAAGACACTCACTGAACCTGCACAACAACTCAATAACCAAGCACCAAGAACCACAAAAGCCTCAGGAAATGGAACGAACGGATCAACAAAAGATATTGACACAGAGAAGAAAAGACTTTAACCGAATCTGGGAGATTGAAGAATCAACTCAGGGACTATAAAAATACTGTGGAAACTCTCAGAAAGGTGTAGATCAAGGCAGAAGAAAGATCTCAGAGCTTCAAGACAACACCCTCCATTAAATAAATCAGTCACAGATATACTGAGCCGAGAAACAGAGAAAAGAGCACAAGCCTACAAGGAGCTGTGGATTAATGTGAAGAAACTAATGTTGAGGGTTCATTAGGGGTTACAAGAAAGGGGAGGAAGACAACACTTCAAGGTTGGACCAAGCTGTTTGAGATGATAATAAGGAGAAAGATTTCCCAGGCCCTTGCTCAAAATCTTGATTGCAGATGTATTATAAAGGTAGAACATATTATGCTCTTTGTGGGTAGATTGCCTTATACAAGTTATCAAGAAGCTACTGCATGGACAGGACTCCGCCCTCTTCTCTCCTTTCTCGTGGACTCTTGAATTTGTTGCGCGCAAATATGTCTCCAAATTCTTATCCGAGAAGAGTGTGACGCTTCAATTATTCCGTTACTCATCGCACGCGCTCAAGCATGTGAAGAGCCTGTGATCCTCCTCCACACGCTCACTCAATCGTCCAGAGGAGAGTGGTGTCTATATAGATTGTCGTTGTTATATTACGTACAAAGGAAATAGCAGGCAATTCTCACTTGAGCTAGGTGTAAATCATTTACAATTAGTGTGGAGGTGCCTCTGATTCTCGACATCTCATCTCAGATTGCTTATCGATCTAAATGATTGCGCATTCTTTTATAATCAATTATATGCATGTTGATTTTCGAAATGTAGATTTTCGCTGGGGTCTCTCTCGCTCCCATTCTCGACTCTGTTTCTTGACGAAAAAAACTCTCACTAGTTATCAGCGCCATTGACCTCAGAGTCGCCTAGTATATGTGCATTGTAATTCCTCTCTTTCTCTCTCCCTGCATACAGTAGTCTGATCGTATCTCTCGACTTCTATATTATGAAGACGAAATAAAACATTTTTCAGACAAGCAAAGGCTCAGAGAATTCACCAGACGGAGACCAGACCTACAAGAAGTACTAAAAACAGCTGTTAGGCACGATCATTATATAATAACCCACGGATATAAACAAACAAAACCAAGATATTAAAGGCCAGATCTTACAATGGCTCAAGACAGGAACTCATAGCAACCAACATCCAACCCAACAGATGATCAGTAATTCCTTACCTTTCCTTCTTCCCAATAATGTGATGTAAACTCTCCACTCAACAACATACTCTAATGATAAAAATCAGCCAATATATGCTGTCGTCCAAAAAACATCTAACCTGCAAGATCTATAGACTTAAAACTAAAAAAGGGCTGGAGATCAATATTCCAAGCAAATAGAAGGCCAAAGAAGGCTGGTGGCAGTTCTAATGTTCAGCACGCTTGTTTTTTAAACCAACAAAAGTAGTAATAAAAGACAAAATTCATACTGGCAGAATGCTTTTAATTTGTAATACTGCCTGTGACACAGTTGTGTTTATTTTTGTTTGTTGCTGGTGTTGGGTTTTTTCGGTTCCTTTTTCTTCTAAATTCTTCTGCCTGCGCTGATGCGCTTAAGAGGTTTTCAACATGTTTTTGCCATGAAGGGCACAGTCCAACAAGAAGAGATACAATTTTAAATATATATGCCCCAATTAGGTGCCCCATGATTCTAAAGCAAAAAACCTTACTGGAGCCTAGCAAATGCATTAATAGAACGTCCATTTAATCGCCAGGGGGAGATTAAACACCACTGACGGCACGAGACAGATCCTCCAAACAGAAATTATAAAGAAATAATGTTACATTAAACAAACTCTAGAACAAATTGGGGTCTGGACGACTATCTACGAAATGTCATACCCAAATCCACTGATATACGTTCTTCTCTCAGCTCACCGGCGACATTCTTTAAGACTTGACCATTATTCTAGGCACAAAGAAAGTCCTCAAGAATTTAAAAAATAGAAATCATACATGTACCTTCGTCAGTATCACAGGGGGAATAAACTTAGAAATCAACACTAACAGAACTCACATTTCTCACAAAAAACGTGAAAATTAAACAATCTCCTACTAAATGTCAGGTTTGTATGCCTTTACTTAGGGTATATATGGAGAAGTCAAGACGGAATAAAACTTCTATCGTAGAAGGGTCACCAATAGACGACAATGATCATCATCGTGCTGCGTTTTATCTCT